CGCCATCTAATGCTCCTTGAATTTACTGCAACTGTTTTGGGGAACTGCTTCCATTCCGGCGGGACATGCCAAGGAAGGACATGTTGCAAGTTGGTCCTGAGTCATGAGTCGAATGAGCAGGCATGAGGATTTCATAGGATTTCACTACAAATTCCTTTAAAGGAATCATAGGAATCCAGCCACCCTCATTCCCTGCACCAGTGATTTTTTGAGTGGACCTGTCCAACGGAGCCACGCCTCAGGAGCCGACAAGCCATGCTCAGTCAGAATGGACGTAAGAGGCCACACCAGGCGCTTCTTGGAAGATCCAAGCCGCACAGACCCTGGGTTTGCCCAAAACCTTTTGCGCTTGTCACTGGATGACCGGTGACCCCCCCGAAAAAAATACAAATCTAGTTGGACCGTGAGGCAGGTGACAGGTAAACCACTTCAAACAAAGCACTCGGTAGTTGGCTTGCAAGGCTCCTTGTACCCAAAAGAGGCTCGGTGTGTTTGGAACAAACACCAGATAGCTATGTGCCCACATCCAAGACCCCTGGACCCACATCCTATACGTTCAGGGTGAGTTTAGAGGGTCCAACCGTGCCGATGACATCAGAATGCTGGTAACTACAGATTGGAGAATCATGGTTGCCCTCATTCCCCCAGTTTCACCATGTTTCACCCATCAAAACTCAGATTACCTCGAGTCTACTAGGAAGAATGATCTAGAATCCATTTGTGGAGTGCTGCAGCTGGCAGCAGCCGAATCGATTTGCTGCACGTTCATTGGTCGATGTGCTTGTCCTCCCACCAGCAAGCATGGAAGTGACAGTGAGAGGAGATTTCCCAGGTGTCATGCCATCCATGTCCCTTCTATTGTTGGATCAACGGGTGACTTTGTATGCGACCGCTGGTCTCCTTCCCACACCGCCCCTTCCGGGCGGTCAGGGCAAGACCCTTCTCGCCCCATGCCTCAGACGTTGGAGACTCAAGGGGTGAGAAGGCGTGGGATGACCTCGACTCACCTCCCAGGAGGCGGTTACATTTGGTGCTAAGAGTCAGAAACATGTTCAAAACGACCCTCCAACATTCGAAAGAGCATTGAATTCCACATGTTCTAGTTCGATATCAGATTGACCAGCTTTTCGGATGACTCCAACACCCTGTTTTCACGTTCTACGTGCCTTTTCGTGGAGAGTTCGTGTGGTGAGTTCCGACCGGAAAAGAAAAACAGGTCCGATAGGTATTGCGACGGAAAACCAGCCGTTTGACAGAGGGGATCGGAGTTCATGTTGTGGAAGACTAACACGGAACCTGATGGCATGGACCAGACTGGAAGACGATTTTTCTCTCTACGACCCAGTAGTTTTCAGGTTCCATGTTAATTTTCCAGGGATTGTGTTTTTGGACTTGACGGTGTAGTGGTATTTATTCGTGCCGCGGATAATGGTGGGATCTGTATTTCGACTCTCGCTGCTGTAGGGTAAAGCCTCTGGACGCCCCGCCAAAAAAGAGATATTGGGGGGATGCTTCTATCATCTTCTATCCATGAATCCTTTCTGTTCACATTGTAACCACACGAGGTTAACATCTCACTTCACATTTTGGTTGCTCATTTCAATATGGCTGACTCATTTAAGGGCACACAGCTATATAGCTTGAATATCGTATGACTATCCATTGCAGAACTGTGCCACCCCTGGAACAGCCCGAGGTCGCACGTCTGTTGCTACCCCGGCACGCACCGCCGAGCGCCTGCCGCGCGCGATTTCAACCGCGCGCCCGAACTTGTCGGAGCTGAAAACTGTGGTCCGGAGGCCCAGGTAGGTCTCCGCAAGTGGGACAAGAGCACTGAAAGTTGGGATAAATTACCCATGTCCGGGTGGTGGAACAAATATGAGTATATCAAAGATATTTGGCAAACTGTCATGAATCACAGTCATTCTTGCATCGTCCAATGGATGTCCTTCTTTTGTTGTGGTTCTTTTCATGGCAATGGATCGGTCCTACGTTCGCATCTCTCAGGCGGTGTATCAGAGGCGCTGTATCAAATCAAGAGCATTTACATCAACCCCATGTAAGGGGATTGCTGCTCTATTAGAGCGAAGTGCTGTTAGACTGTCAGACTCACCTATAGGGGATGTTAATGAACTGATAGATTGAGAACCTCTTCGCAACCTATGGGGCGACCATGGGCGCGAACCCTTTCGGCACCTCGAGCACCCAATCACCCACAGCACTAGACTTCCTCGACACCCACCCACCAACACATAGAAGGGAAGATGGCTCCTGTGAAAAGAATCAGTGTATTGCAGGGGGTCATGCTCCCATCCATGTTATTGTTACTGAGGCAGGGTGCATGCCTCACCCAAAAACTCAGCGAAGCGCCACTTTTCAAAGGGATTTCCATTGGATTCTGTATATTTTCAAAAACAAAATTGGCCACTTCTCTTCCATGAAGCAACAATTCTCTCCCAGTAACCAGCAGGGGGGCACGCTTTTTTGTTCTGTGTGTCTCTCTCTCTCTCTCTCAGCCTCACTCTCTCGTGTCCGTGCGGTGTTGAAAGTTCTTGAGGTGGTGAACTTGGAACGCCGCTCAGACCGGATGGAAGGCCTGGGGGCATCGTGACCGGAGGACATTGGGCGGAGGTTGGTCAAGAGCTGGTGCTTTGGGTGCCTGGAAGTTCCGAACAATTTGGCAGATGGGAAAAACATGCCAATGCATTGCATGGTTTCAACATGTTTGAAGTATAAGCCGTGCACGGTGCATGCATAAAGTAGAATTTAGTTACTGTAATAGTTTGCATATAGCGCTTTCCGTTTCAAGTTCTTATTGTTGTCATAGTTTGGCACGAGGTGTACATGCCTTACTATTACTTTGCCTACCCAAGACATGTGATGCTTGAGGGAAGTGACCGAAACCAAACCATGGTTGGTGCTTGTTGTTGAAACATCCTTTCCTATAATAGTATTGACTTTCAAGTATTTCCTACGTTTGTTTTGCAACAATCGAACCATGGGCCTTTCTCAGAGAATTTGGGGCTGAGGTTTGCTCTAGCCATGCGAGTAGGTGCTCAGCATTCAGGTTGCCTCACTCACTGATTATTTGATCCAACTGTTTGTTGCTCGAGCGTCACCGATGATACTCTGGTGGCCTTTACCCTAGCTTTGCTGGAGATTTCAGGTTGTTGACAGGTCATGTCATTCTCGTGTGTTCAACATTGTTCCACCATGGTCCACCTTTTGGTTTCGCCAGGTTGCTGCCAACGCTTGCAGAAACACTGCCAACAGCTCCCCTTCGAACGCTTCAATGCGACAGACGGGCGCCAGGCGGCGTCACGCGGCGTGGAGGATCTACCCTTTGGGTGCTCGGGTGCTCGAAAAGTGGCCTCTCAGATTGGCGGAGAAAGACATTTTTGGGGGGAGCCACCTGCTTTTCAGATGCACATCCGCACTAGTTTTCTGAGGTTTCTCAGATTTTGTTGGGGGATCCCTCAGCGGAATCCTCAGCAGATCCCCCGCGTGATGGAGAAAGTTGGCGCAGACCACACCGTTCGCTCTGCTCGGCTGCGTCAGGCTGAGATCCCACTGGACGAGGTAACAACCTCTTGGAACACAGCAGGGGGCCATCGATACAGCTGGGGTGTTCGGACAGAGTTTCAGGCAGACCTGATTGGTGTCAAAAAATCCTTGAGGGAACATAGGATCTCCTAGGATCTCCTAGGTTTGGCTGTATCATGACAGTGTTTCAAATCTTGCTTCAACAAGGAGGAGATCATGAAATCTCTGGACTCCGAAGCAACACACCCACAATGACCTAGGAACTTTGCTTAAAATGGTTTCCAAAGATTTGCAGTATATATATAGGGATGAGAAAATATGATAAATATGTTCCGGTGTGCTATGCCAATGGGGTAGTTCCTTCAACTTGGGTTGATTGCGCTTTGAGTGTCCGTCTTTGAGGCTTCTCAATGCTTGCTGAATCAACGCCCCGCTGATTCACCCGGCTCCTCCGTGCTCGAGGAGTTTGTACATCGATTTGTTTAGGTTGATCAGATTGTCCCCGCCTTGCGCCACGAAAGGCTATATAACCTTTTCGACTGAGGCCCGGAATGTGGAGTTCCAGAAGCAACGAGCTATCAGGAGCGGCGACGAAAGCGAGAGAGAGAGAGAGAGACAGAGGGAGGACAAAAGCGAGATCCGGAGGAAGGAGCCTGGTGGTGCTGGCAGCCGGAATGAAACGGACTATGATGGTGGGGGTATGGAGGTTGATCTATTGCACCGGGAACTACTCAAGAACCCTTGAAACTCAGAATGTGATATAAGTTGTGTTTTTGCCATCACATTGGCCAAGCATTGACCCCCCACAAGGGGTAAGGATGTGAGAAGGTCGCAGCACCAGCTAGATGCAAGATCATGCAAGCACATATTGTTACATGTGTGTTGGTTCAGTGGTGGGCATTAGGATTTGTCAGGATTTACCAGCTGCCCTGTGTGTATGTTTTCCAGTTCCTCTTGCCTGCATGTGATCATGCGGCTCACCCCTGAGTTTGCCAGGAAGGGATGGAATGACTTGGAAACCTACCAGGTTCGGCACTCGGTCAGCTTGAGGCCTTTTTTTCTCCATAACCCTCCTGTGATCCTAGCCCGAAACTCCACTTGATTTTGCTAAATCATGGGGCCTTCGAAGGACCAAGATACTCTCAAAGAACACTCACATGGGCTCTAATTCTTATGCCCTATTTTCAGAAACTTCTTCTGATCCATTTGAGAGCACCATTTCAGATCCATTTGACTACGAATATCCTTTGTCGCTGCCCATGGGGCCCATGGGGCTCGGCCCCTGGGGCTGCGTCCGTCACGAAAAAGATCAGTTCCGGGGACGCTTGACTCGTTGGGCTTGACCAAGGTGTCAGACTCGACCAAACCTGTTGGAAGTTTCTTGGACACCCTTGCAGAGCGTTTTGGCTCAGTCTAGGGCGCTCAGGTGGCTGAGAAATCCCTCCGGAGTGGGAGCCATGAGCATGCACACGACGCAAGAATGGGCATTGAGTGCCCATCAGAATGCTGGATGTACTTGATGTGCTTTTGCTATGTTTTGTTTCTGTTTTGCACCTGCGTGGTATGTCCGCAACTGAGAGCCGTTCGCAATGTGATATATTCTTCCAGTATGCACCGGCCCGCGTTCCAAGAAGGACATCAGGATGTAGCTCAGTGGTCTCCATACATGCCTTTGTCATCCTTTTTCAAGCATCCATAGTATTGTGATCCACATTTCTCGATACATTCAGAGCCCGGCCCGAGACCCGACGTTCTCGAGGTGTTTTTCTCCCACCCAAAATTCGACGTCGGGTGTCGCTCTCCGACCAACGTAATCTGGGACGTGATCTGGGAATGGTAGGGCAGAACCCATCCTGAGGAACATGTTCCAGGCGAAGTCCGCTCACCGGAAGGCCATCGATCAGCAGGACCGCTCCAGCCGCGCCCACGATGAGGCCATGTCTGACAACATGGGCAGCCTGGAAGAAGATTTTGATGCCCTGAACTGGGAGATCTAAGTATTTCTAAGTCATTTTCTGAGAATTTTTGAATCCTCATGAAATGAATCCTCCGGCCTAGCTCCCCCGGAAAAAGGAAGCTGTGTTTTTGTTTGTGTGTGTGGCGTTGTGAGACACACAGAGCAGGGTACAGTACATGTGTTCATCACTGCAGGTGTTGATCTATGAATGGAGTAGGGCCTGGGCCTTCAAATGCAATCGCCAATGGAGAGACGGAAGGAACTCCACTTCTTTTTCCAGGAGAGGATGAATTTGGATAGGTTGTTTGTAGATGTTGGTATAGACTTAGGACTTTTGGGGCTTTTCATTGCTTTTTAGTTGTTGGCAGACTAAGGACTAAGAAACTTAAAGACTTAGGATTTTTAAGGGTTTCTTTCAGTTTTTCAGTTGCTTGTTTGTTTATCTCCCGGTGTGAAAGCTGGCAGCGTCCCAATGGGACTGGGCTCCCCCAACGCCCATGGCCCGACCAAGAACGTCCGACAAGTTCCCGTGGAGAAGTCCTGGTTCGGTGTTTCGAGTGGTGGGAAAAGCGCTGTCCCGTGGTCCATGGGAAACGTGCGCATAGTCCTGGTGGCTCGAAAGTCCTGGTGGCTGAAACAGCTTAGGTGGAAGTCCTGGTCTAAGATGAAAAACAATGAAAAACATAACACGTTTAGATGTTGGTTGCTTGGCTTGCAAGACGGAACCATTGGCGTTGGTCCCATGCAAATCGATTGGTCGTTGGAGAAATTTGGAACCATTCGCAGGAGAGTCGCTTCATGGGAAATGGGAATGGATTTACACATGCCAACTTCAGAATGCTGGATGCCAAATGGGAATCCCTCTGGTCTGTTTGTTCCCTCCCTATGCCTGTATACTCAGAAACCTAATTCATGGTATTAGGGAAAGGAGTAAGAATCGATCAATCAAGCAAACCGCTCTTCTTGCGATATGCCGATATGCCTTTTGTGGCCCCAATCACTGCAAGGTATGTATCACGAGCTGCCACTGGGACTGAATGAATCGATATGCCATCGTGTAGAGAACGTGCGCGAGCGAGAAGGGGTGCAATACAACATCTATATAGATTTGGCTTAAGCTCAGGTACGCTCCCGAAAACTGACATGGTCCCTGAGAATGGCGAAAGACCGTTCCCTTTGAACCATGTGGTGTTTGGATGGTCCACGTTCTCCAGGTGGTCGAACCCGCTGGGAGACACCCGACATCACCCGACCTTGCTGGGTAGATCTCCTACTTCCCGGACCCCATAGGTCCGGTCGAGGGGCCAAGCTGGGAGGTCTTCCTATATATTCTGATACCCATATAGAAGATGGGATGTTGTGACCTGATGGGATGAAGCTCGGTGGGGTTTTCTCGGGTTTTGGGGGTCCAAGTCCTATACCACCTGGGAGGTGAAATTGGTGGATGCTTTACCAGGACTGACAAGACAAGCTAGAATGAGTGTGGCACAATGAGGCCCATGACTCACTCATGACATCTCACATGACATTTCAATATTCGATTCGTTCGATCCGAAGACCGGCCCCAATCACTGCAGCTGGCCCGCCCATTCGCGTGGAGCATCCCGGAGCGTTGTTGCTCGATCTTTGTAGATTCAGATGTGTGCTGAAGCTGTGAACCAAGCACCGATGACAGCTTCAAAGGACAAAGCACCAATGGTGAGATGCAGAATCATATGCTATAACCTTGCCCACTACTGGGCCTCTATGGCCTCCCCAGAAGATTGCTCGACTCGACCCTTGTGGGTTTGAGGCAAGCCCTTGGATTCGACCCATTTTTGAGCGCGGCTGCTATGCTGTAAATATATTCTTTTTTACCGGCCTCCATGCACTTCCATCAAATACTGAGGCCGATACTGCTTGAGGTGTTCTCTAGAACTTCTATGAACTTTCTGTCTCCTGAATCAACAGACGCCCATAGCATAAAGGAACGTCCAGTTCCATTGTAGCAACTTCCGATCAGAAGGATGTCTCACAGATGGCAGGTCCAACCCGACCCAACCGAGCGGGTTCGTTCCGAGCCAGTCACCCACATTGTTCTCACCGTCACCCACGCGTGTGAGGGATTCCTCCGCCCCCTTTGAGGCAAAGTTCCTTGGAGCAAAAGGTCCGCACCAGTCAGAGGATGTTGGAGAAGCTCCAGCACCGTGCGCAGTCACTGGAGAACTCCATCCAACACACGAAGCACTTGGGCCAGATCAGAAGTGAGAATTTCAATCCGAACTGGGGAGGAACATTCAACAGACTTCAGACCAGTTGAACTCGGGCAAAGATCTCGGCCCTGGAAATCGTTTTCAAAACTTTTAGTTGTTTATTGTGTTTCTATTTTTTTCTCTTGCTTGGTTTGGTGCCAAGGAAGGACAAGCAGCAGGTGCTGATGAATCCCTTAGCCTTAGATAGCACATTCACTATTCACTGAGAAAAGAAACTGAACACTTATCCTGCACCTCGATTAAGGTCAATTGAGTGTTTTTGTAGTTTGGTATGTGTTGTTGAATGTTTAGTTCAGCTTGCTTTAGCTGGGTTGCGTCTCATTTTTTGGGGGGGCCCGTATGTTGCTCGCTCCCCTTTTGAGTCTCACTGTGCGCTCGCCCGGCGCTCGAGTCCTGTCACGACACCTCGCTGCACCAGGCAGACCTTGGGCAAGTTGGAAGAGGCCTTAGAGGCAAAGGACAGGTGGACGGATGCGAAAAGTATGGGTGTGGACAATCATCGGATGGGAATCATTTGGGCAGGTGAAGGAGAATCGGACATCTGGACCAAGTTATGGAAAATCATCGGAGATCAACCTCCAGCTTTCGTGGGTCCAGATGGCAACCATTTGGTGAGGTTTGACCTATTAAATCTTGGGCCGTCATTGTTGTTGATGTCGGCCACATCCATGAAAATGTGTTTGCCGCCTGTTTATTCTAGCAAAACAGGAGCCGAGGCCAGAGATTCAACATTTGGAAGGAACTCAGAAGCTGAACAGATGCTCAAAAGTTCCTGCTTGTTTCTTTTGACTGGAGGTGGAACATGATCCATTTGGCAACACAATCGCAGGCTGGCGGCTCCGAAACCCAACTTGAACGACCATCATTTCCAGATGCCGCGTGATGTGACCTGCCACATCACCCAAACACGGAGGCTTTTCGGTGGACCCTCTTTCAGACAAGTGAAAACACCCATGTTCAGCAGTGAAGACATCCATGCCCGGTCAACATCCTACTCCGGTTGCCTCGTGGCCCTTCGGGTCCACGCGGGGTCACATCGGGACCGCCTGGTGTCGACCTGTTCGCGCCTGTCGATCCAGGATGCTCCACTGATCCTTTGTAGCTGGCGTATGGAGCAACGAGAGCGTCGACCCTTGCGGGAACAGGTCCGGGACCATGTGGAGGTGCGGAGCGGAGCGGAGGGGAGCACAGGAACTGCGTTCCAAGGAGGTTCCCTATTGCCGAGAGTCTCGAGAAGGTGTGTTTGTGTGTTTGCTTTTCAGGTTTGCACAGCGGAGCCTTTTGATGGTAGTGAAGCTACCTCACCTTGAATCCAACAGAGTGGTGCTCTATCATGATTTGCAAGTTGGGATTCCAAAATGGTCGCGGGTGACATTGATCACCCAACCCACGAGTAGTGAACCACAAGTATATTATGATTGCTTTAGTAGCGGCCCACTGCTGGCAGACTCGACTCCAGGTGTCTCTGGAGACGGAGAAGGCCGCCTTGTTGGATTCTCAGCGGCGCTTGCAAGATGTCATCCAGAAAACCAAGCAGACCGTCCAGGCGATTCCCGGTTCCTCCGCAGGGTCCGCAGGTGAAGACCTCCTGTGCTGTGAAGACGAACCCACACTGCGCGGACAGTGGTCGCTTGCGGACTATGTCTTGTGGATGGAGATGGGCCACGACGAACACATCACATGGAAGTGGATGGCACCCTCTGTTCATGAAGGAAAGCAGTGTTCCAAGGGACCATTTTCCCATCCACTTCCATGTGATGTGTTAGTGCCGAGTGCATTCATTGGTCTATTGATTTTGCCTTCATTGGAAGAATTCGGCATCATTCGCCTTTGCCAGGTCCTGTTTGACTCCATGTCTCTCGCAGTTCTTGTGGAGAATATCTACCTTTGTGTTTCTCCGCTCAGGAAGAAGGGGTTCATCTATGGGGATGTTCATGGATTTTGCTTCCTTGCTGTTATGCATGGGAACACGGAATCTTTGGTTGACAGTGCGTGGCTTCCTGAAGAATCATCGTAGAGGATTAGCAATCATGTTCCATGGCATTATGCAGAACTAAAAGGCAGACCCAGGATTGATTTGCACTTGATCTATGGGTCGGTTTCGAGATGGATGTGGATATGCCAATATCGACGTTCCAAGTTCCAAGCAACTAGACAGACGAGTCATTGATTTCACCCTAAGTCTATTCTCTAAGATCCCTGGCGGCCTGGCGACGTTTGTGTGTTTTTTTGATTTTGTTCAAGGGGCCACGTGTGGTACTTTTAGGGCGCCTGCACCTGGGGTTTGGTTTAGAACCTCCAATGCAGCCGTGCCAAGCGTTGGCGTGTGCGCCATGTGTCATGCTTTATGGGAGGCCCTGGAGAATAAGCTGGAAGAGGTCCGTCAGGACATTCAGCAGAAGAGCCAGGCACAAAAGCGAGTGAGCCGCCAGAGGGACAAGACCGGGCTTGTTTCTTTGTTTCGGTGTTTGGGCGGCTAGCTTACTAAGTTAAGCATTCCCTTCCTGCCAACCATTGAGAGAGTGTCAATAGCCGGGGTCCCCACGAACTGTTCAACAAAGCCTGGGCCAGGAATTGGTGTTAATAGGAAACAATGAACAGAACAAGTCGTGCATGGTAATGCCTTTATTTTCCGTGTTGTTTTCCTCCGGTGTTGGAGAGACTAGATGAAAACGGAGTCGGTTTAGAGTCTTTTGATGTTCCATGCGTATTCAAGGAATGCGAACAAACGGGTGTTCGAACGGGGATGTTGAAATGTTGCAAGCAGCTGTTCAAACACAAGCAGAGGGGGAGATTGACCAGCACCAAGCAGCGTTATTGGGGCCGTGAAGGGGGTTAGGTTTGGAATTTCATTAATTTTTTGTACTTGCGCAAAGCTGTTTGTTACTGCCTACCTTTGCACTATAGCAGGGTTCAAGATTCTTCACTCTTGGCTGCATAGGGTTTTCTTATGATCCCAAGGCTGACAGCAAGGGGCCCATAGTTCTTTTCGCACGCTCCCCTATTTTATCCTATTTTCCTATCTGTTTTGACAGCCAACATGATCCATATGAAACACTGTAAGTAAGCAACCTGCGACCATTTGCGACCTAAGACAGTTCAAACAGCTGGAGGGCACGTGTAAACAGCAAACACCTTCCAACCGGACATCATCAGAGAGACCATTTTGTAGGTAAGCAACATTCATCCTCAGGCCTCAGGTGTTGTAGATCCAGAATGGCTTTGGGAACATCACAGCATTGTTGGAGCCCCAAAGATTCATTCCTGCAACGCCTCCAGCTCCGCAGGAAGACCCCCAAACACCACCAGTTGGGTCTTTTAGTCCTATAACCAAGCCCATGTGCGTCCACCTTCGGCTTCACCCCCTTCGCCAGGCCCTTAGTGTGGATGAGCTTTGCCTCCGCACCACCTCTCGCAGCCTCGAGCAGATCGTCGACCGCAGCGCCTTCCTCCGGACGGCGGGCGGGAACCTGCCGCCGGCGCGCGGCGGCAGCCGCGGCACGGCGCGTGGGGCGGATGCGCGGCGGGAGGTGGCAGCCCTGGAAAGCTTCCGTGGCTTGGCCGAGAGGAATTCCCAGCTGCCTCGGTCCGAGCTGGGCCTAGTGCTCCAGCTCTCAGCTTTCCATTTGATGGTGAAGCACCCCAAGCTTGGCATGAGCGAAGCCCTGCAGATTTCGCCTGAGGCAATGAGGTGCTCCGGCAGAAGGAGGCCTTGCGGCTCAACCAGTCGGCGATCCACCGGGAAGAGGCTGCCAAGGTTGGCGGATCCGCATGGGATGCGCTTCTACTGTGCGGGCGGGCGCAGTGGGAAGGTCAGGCCTATATATGTAGTAGTGAGGGATGTAAGATGTAAGGATGCAGAGTTGAGGTGGGATGTTGAGGTATAGTAGTGAGATGCAGAGTTCGTAAGATGTAGGAGATAGTGAGGTATGTTGAGGTGGTTAAACACCTTCATCCCAGTGGCTTCCAACCAGACGAGTGGATCGATCACAGGAGCTCCGAGAGGAAGCCAATAAGCTCATGGCGCGCGTGCAGCGCAATGTCGAGGATGCCGCTGGGAAGTCCGAGAAGTGCATGAAGGCGTGGTTTGCCCACACGGCGTGTGTGTGTGTGTGTGTGTGTGTGTGTGTCCACTCCTGTTTCCAAGGACACTACTCTAGTTTTCCTACTCTACCCTACAAGCTTTTCTGTACAGAAGCAGGGGGACAACCCCATGGATGCAGTTGGTTGTCCAACGAAGAGGGCTGCATTCCATGGCTGATATGATCCTGGGACGCTAGGATCACGTACCTGAAATTTTAATCCTAATTTTGATTTTCAATTGCTGAGATTTCTAAGTCAGTGCAACGCCGTCTCATACGTTGTTTCCTGCAGTATCTAGATTTAAAGGGCTAATGCACACCGCGAAGCTACCTGAAATCACGCTCCACGGAGCAACCTTCTCAAGTGTGTCTTCGCAGCTTCTTCCCACTGTGGTGAGCTGTGTGATCCCTACGGGGCGCCGTTACCGCAAGAACCTGATCACTCCTCACCGAGGGAGTAAGTTTCCTGAATTTTCTCTGAAGTCCCTTAGACTGAATCTGACCTGCTCGAAATCAGCTTGGATAGTCTCACCCAGCACACGTGAAGATTACTGCAGAGTTCACTGAAATCCTTTCTGAATCCCACTGCAGAGTTAACTGAAAGAGTTTCACCCGGAAATCCATTCATTCCTTTCAAATCTTTTAACCTTCCAAGTTTTAACTCCTTTTTCCAGAATTTAATTGCGGTCATTCAATACACTCCACAACTTTTTCGACCTCACGGACCTCTATTTATTTTCATACATACATACATATTTTCACTGTCTTCGACTTGCCGAGCAGCCATGACGTATCCCTGGCCCTATTCTTTGCCGCCACACATCCATCCACAGCCACAACCTACACAACCCCATTGGATTCAATATCCACCACAGGCTTCACCACAACCTTTTCCAACACTGCCACCGACTCCACCACAACACCCAACCTCACATCACTACCCATTGCCTACTGCACCTCCACCTCATGCTCAATACATCCAACCACATCAACTTCAGGCACATTTTCCAGTGCAACCTACGGCTCCTTTCGACACTACCCAACTTGCACAACAACATCCTCAACTCACAACTCAATCACCACAATCCCAAGCCCACACACATCTTGCATTGCCACTTCAGTCTCAATCTCAACCTCAACCACCACCTCTACCTCCCCAACCACATCTACCACATCTACCACATCAACTACATCCATCACCACACACGACAAATCAAACCCCTGCCACAACATCATTTCAACCACAACAACCACCACCACTACAAGCACCTGATGTACTACAAGCACCACCACCTGATACAACAATCACTTCACAGCAGTTGACCACACCAACTCCACCACCACCACCTTACACTTCAACAACCTCACCAGCGACTACTCAACCGGCTTCAGCATCCATCAACACACCCGCACAGCCTCCGCCACCACACCACATTCCACGCACTACCAAACCAACACCATCCATTGCACCCACACTCAGCACTACAAGAGGCATTTGGCGTGACCCAGATCGCTCACCACCACGCACACCTGAACACCACCGCTATTCAGCCTTTCCAGCCGTACCTTCCATTGCACCATCACAAGCTACATCCAGATCCAGGAGCCGCACTCGATCACTACGAACTACACGCTCTCCACTACCAAGACGTCGAAGCTCCGCCACACAATCCGTGGCTAGTTCTCAAGCACAATCCAAACCTGCAGATAGACGAGCATCACAATCACCAGCAATCACCCAAGACAAAGCTCACACTTCCATCCAAAACATCACTACAGCTACTACTGCAAAACACACTCCAGAGCCAACTCACCGTACTTCCAGCATCACACTCAAGCCCAACCCACATTTCACTCCCAAACATCCCACAAAAACAGACACTTCTACCACCACCACCAGCACCAACACCTGCAATACCAGTCCAACGACGACCTCACAACTTGCCTCCTCCAACATTCCAACCCCCCACTGATCCAGCACAATTGGATGTCTTCCAATGGCTCAACCGCTACGCACAAGCACTTGATGTAAACAATGAACCCATGCTCTCCTACGTAGCCAAGGTACTCAGTGCAGCTCATCTCAACAGCACCCACTTTACCGACCTTCAACTTCTCACCCACAAAAAATGGAGCGATGACACCAACAAAGAAGAACATTATTCCTTCCTACTACTCACAATCCCCACATTAGCGAGCAGGGGCGACGCCCCGATTCTTCCTCCTACACGGAGAGAGGCGCTGAACATACCACCTATTAAACACATTTTTGCGGCACACGTTAGCGAGGAGGGCAACATCATTTCAATACTTGAAGCAGGAGAAATCGTGCGATCCATTCTGCATGATGATCACAATGTGGGATATTTTTGTCAGGCGTTCGAATTGTCGAACTACGAGCCCCATGATGCTGCTGAAGCTGCACGCGTCCTCTTCAATGCTTCCAACATGGCCAAGAACCGCAGCGGCCTCATTCTGACGATCAAAGCCTATGGACACGGCCAGAAAGTCACTCATGGTGGCGAATCCGCAGCGAACGACTTGCTGCTCAGAGGAGAGGGGATTGTAAAATACACCCCAGGAAAATGCTGGGTGGCCCATCCCAAACATTCCAGAATAGAAGGGATAGCTTGGAAAAGCGATGCAAAGCCACCGCTCAGTTTCATTTAAATTCAATCTATTCAGCTCACGAGGTTCATTTTTCACCCCGTATCTTGGATGACGACCTAGCCTCAAACAATCTCAGCCAGCCTGCCTGATTTGATTCTGATTTTTCTCACACATCGTTGTCAACTTCCTTTTCTTCCGATATGTTATTCATATACAGATTGATGCCGACTACATGATCTTTTTACGGTCACTTTTCCAATTTTCCAGACTTGCAGCATGTCAGCATTCCTGGTTGATATCAAGCTTTTCGAAGAGAATCACAAGCATATCGAAGAGAGTCGCAAGATTTCATGTGTTTTGCAACCTGCCCCGCAGCCACTTTGTATTATCTTGAATATTGAGCTCGATCCCTGACGACCACCCGAGCTATATTTGCTTCCCGACGAGTACCACGACGATGACTTCCCCTCTGGACACAGCTTTTGCCCATCGACTTCTTTTAGCACACCTTCAAGCAGCCACCTCCATTGCTACTACTTTTCAAAACCTTCCACCATTTACACCGCAACTACCACAACAAGCACATCACCCACTCACCACCACTCCACCTTCTCCCCAAAGACCAGCCAGACGCACTCCTCCATCACTGCAACCGCAGCCGTCTTTCTCACGCAGCCGCAGTCCACCTCCCGCCAAAGGCAAACCATTCATGGAGTGCAAACCAGAACCTTCTCCTTCACATACGCCCACTTCACCACATCAGTTTTCACCACACCACCACAAGTCCAAAGCGACTCACCAACACAAGAACAATACAGACCTCCAGAAACAGCCTACACCACCAATCACAACGATTTCTCTCACCAGCTCGCCCAATTCACCTCCACAAACATCACCAGTTCTACCAATTCCGCCACTACCTACACCCGTACCACCTGCATCACCAGTACCACCATCAAAACCAACACACATCCTCACGGATTCACCACACTATCCTGACAATGGAGGATGGGAACCCAGTGAAGATGAAAAACTTGCGGCCTTTAAACTCAACAAACGATCTCGCCCTAGTTGGAAATACATAGCAAAAGCACTCAACAAAACACCTTTTGATTGCAAAGGTCGATGGCAAGTCTTGCGAATTCTTTATACACCACAACAGCCAGACAGTCCAGAAGCAGAAGCATCATCACCACACAAAGCATCTCAACAAGCAGAGGCAACTCCTCCAGCCACAAAAGATGCAAGTACGATGACTACAGAACCTCCGGATCAGACCGACAAAGAGACATAGAATACACAACAGCAGTCTATGATCGTCCAAACAGAACTTTCCACGACTTCTCGGTGCTGAAGAACATCCCGAACTATTGATGCCTTTGTACTGTATTTTATTGTCAATTCGTACATATTTACATATTGGCTTATTGCTTTTTGTCGTTCCAGCAGTTGCGAGCAATAGACTCCAACCCACAACACACCATTACAGCTTTCTTCCACACGTGCAGCAAAACAAGATCGGTCGCCAGCAGTGCTCATTTTTCTTGAACACTTGCCACACACGACAAACTCTCGACCACTGGAGCATCGCCAGTACTGTGTACAGACCAGTTTATTCCGTCTAATTCATCGTTTCATTGCATCCATGCGAATCACTCTCGAATGGTCTCCCCATTGTTGAACCGGATGAACTTTACGTTTCCAAGTTTTTTTGGGTGATTTTGACCACTTTCATGTCTCCATTTTGATGTATTTGCAGCTCGGCTAGTTCAATTTAGCTCAGCCTTTCATTCCTGTACAGTTTTCTCGACGACGACATCGCGATGGATTCAGATCCTGTTGGTACAGCCCTCGTTGCCTTGGATGCCCAAATCATTTCACAACTGCGAGATACAAACATCCAGATCAACCGGCTGATGGTACTTCAACTCAATCGACTACATGACACTATTCGACAGCTACACTTAGCAGAATCCGACACCAGCACCCCAGACCCACGTCTACCAGGAAGAATCCAACAGCTCCAAACATTGTTGCCCTCGCTCAAAGCAACCGTGGAGCACCAACAGACTTTTTACCACCAATGTCTCAGATTACAACACATTCCAACCACTCTTCAACACCAGGTTTTACGATTGGCCACCACTTTGGACAAGGCCCACACGACTTCTACTTCCACTTTCGAACGATCAAACACACCTCCATCCCCCAGACAACCCAAGACTGACCCACCCTCACTTACCACCAATCGACCCCCGATACGATTACATGAACGACCACATCTACCACAACATCACAAACTATCGGAACAGCCACTCCCAGTACGGCAGCAGCACACTTCCACAGCAGCATCACACTCACACAGTGCCAAACATACCCATAAACCACCTCAACGCTCCAGATCACACTCAAGACACACACGAAAGAAGCGACAAGTTGCGGCTCCGAGACGTCATTCAGACCGCACATCACCACCTCGCATTGCCAAACATAACAGCCCTCACTCCCACAGCGCACGTTCTCCACAACAACCCAAGCATATCACCAAACATACCAAACATCGCAAACAACCCAAGCGATCACAACACTCTACTTCTCGCTCCAGACGCTCTCGGACAAGACGCTCGCGTACTACCAAGTCACGAAGAAGCCGTCGCGAAAGATCCACAAGATCGGCCCACCATCGCTCCTCTTGCAGGACAAGACGTCAACTCTCACCAGCACCGACTCGAACTCACTCACCCAGCCACCAGACCGAACACCACACTTCTCGACACTCTTCACATGCCTCTCCGACGACACGACCAGACTCGCCCCGCACAGAACCACCTCCTCTTACACCTACAGAAGACACCAGCGACAGCGTCTTCGCTCTACAGCATTCACCCTCAGACAAAACCGCATCAAACGTTACAGCAGCAACACCTGCCCCTTTTCCACTACATCCAACACCGTCCCAACTACCGCCACCACCACCACCGAAAACACCACCGATTCCAGCGCCACTACGAATTTTTCCAAAAACATCACCTTCCACAAAACCATCACAACCACCACCACCCCAGTCAACACCCTTACGACCAAAACCACCATCGTATCCACCTCCACAGCAACTTCTTCCTCGCCAAGTTGACCAAGATCCAGCGCCATGAGAGCTACCAGCGACATCATATTTCAGTCATATTTATATCTATATTGGATTATATTTCTACAGCCAACGTCAACTCACACTTTACAGCAGGAAGCACCACTTCTCACCTCCAAACAAACATTCTTTACTTCAAGATACATCCCAACACATCACTAGACTCCGACCAATAGCACTCGGAAGTTTCACCCATTGCGTTTCACCCTGCAAACTCGAACAGAATTCAAAATGCAGAGTTACTATTTACATTTGCATTTGCATTTCAGCACAACAACCTCACACTAACAATACAGATGCAACATTTATTTATTTACAGACACAATCTTGTACAGATTCAGCTTCTCCACACATGATTTTACAGCGGCCTCCGATGATACTATATCAGCCACATGCTTTATTGCTTTGTTGCGACTATTACTAGACAGGACTGGCTTTTGTTGATTCTTCTTCTACCACAAGATTTGCTTACCAGATTCTCTTCATGCAACGGTATCATGACCTCTGTTTACCGCCACTTGTTACCTCAGCCTTTTGATTACAACTGATTTCATCGACATTTCCTAGACCCTCTGCTTGGCCACCATGGAAGCGGCATTTTGGAGCTGGACTCATGACACACCAGCAGCACACATTTATGGCGTATACACTTCCCAACACAGCTGCCGCACCACCATCTACCACACCAGAGAGCAGCTCCATTCATTGCAACAGACAATGTACTTTGACGAGAACATTTACCCACATCTCCCTCCGGCATTGCTGGACCGCATACTTCGAGTCAGAGCCTTGGTGAATCACGCAACAGACGACCTCACCGCTGCTTTAGACCACATTGAAGCGATCGGCCGTTTTCCGCCAGATCAACTGAAAGGCAAGGGCAAGGGCCAGGGCAAAAGCAAAAGCAAGACATACGACCCCACCGAACTCACAGATGATCCAACCACAAGCATTCACCAAAGCGATCTTATTTATCCATGTACACCCCCACAAACCATGGCACCACCTCGCACCACACCACCACCTGTGACCCACACCACAACACTTGAACACTCACAGCAGACCGCATCTCAGCAAACTGCGACACCTGACTTCCCACACACAGCCTTAGCACCCAAGCCTTCTTACACCTGTATGCACTCAGCCAACAGCTGTATTTCACCTCCACGACCAGTTAACCTCTTCCCTACCCAACCATCACAACACACTTTCCCACAGCAATGCGACACTCCCCAAGTTTACAACATCCGCATTCCCCTACAAGGACAAGCCACACTGACAGCTATCGGACCGATCACCGCACCACTCACAACTTCAACAGTTTCTTACAGACAAGCTGGTACTCCATCATGCTGACCATGAACTACAAAACCTACGACTCTTTTGCCCACAGCACTACTTCCACGGATGTCTCACCACATGGAATACACCACAACTTTTTCTCCCACTACCAGATCTCACAGCCCAACAACTCCACCAATTTCTCACACAATCCTTCCCAACCAGCATTCGCAAAGCATACCCCTGGGGCTTCCGCAAAAAATTCTACACACCACATGGAGTAGTTTTCCTCAAACAAAAGAAATCCTGGCGAAAGGGTAGAACAGTCATCAGCTATTTCAGATCCATCGCTGGCACATTATTACGAGCCACCTCCAAAGCATTAGACATTATGCTCCTTCATCTTCTACCACAACATCCAGGCCAATTATCTATACCCAACCTTTGGCAACACCTCCACAACCATTTCCAGACCACACCCGAAGACATCCACCTCACACCGATCAACGACGACCTTGTCGGCTTCTTCAACAGCGTACCTCAACAACGCCTTGTCGACGCAGTCATCAGCCTGTGCCACCGCTGGAAAGCACAACACAACACTACTACCATCACCATCGATGTTCAGTCTACCGGCAACCCCATCCAACACTCACACATCGGTCGACACTACATCCACCACCCACAGCAACGCACACTTGACACACAACACATTCCTCTTATCGTTCAACAAGCTCTTCATTCATGCATTTTCCAAGCTTGCAACACCTACTACAAACAAATTCAAGGAGCCGGCATTGGCAGTCAGCTCTCACCAGCACTTTGCAACGTGGCAATCACGCTCATCGAACACACTTGGCAAACCACATACCACAACTTCTTACACCAACCAAACCTTCACTTGCTCAACACTCGCTATGTCGACAACCGATACATCTTGCTCAACGAACAATACAGATCAGCACTCCCCATCACTACATTGGCCCATCCTGAATTTTATGAACAGCCAGTTGAAATAGAGCCAGTGGACGACGACCATCTACTCGGTTTCCTGATTGACCCTCTCAACCGAACCGTCACCTTCCAACTCCCCACCCATTCCTGGCAGATTCGTGATCCGCAGTCAGCAGGGAGTCACAGACTACGCCTTTCAGGCTTACAATCACGCCACCACACACTACAAAAATACACTTACCCAAAACATCTTACACACACGACAGCACAGAAGTTGATGCAGCTATATATGGCCAAAGGCCATTCACCAGCACACTGCGCCGAGGCGCTGCGGCCAAGAGGAAAAAGACTATGTGCCAGCACTTTCGCAGACTGCTGTGATATGCATTTTACAGTATTGAACATTTCAATGTCAAGCACTTCCACTATATTTATTATCCAGGCCCTACCTGGTCCGATCTAGTTGCGCCGATACGGCTCAGTGTGTGTGTCCACTCCTGTTTCCAAGGACACTACTCTAGTTTTTCCTACTCTACCCTACAAGCTTTTCTGTACAGAAGCAGGGGGACAACCCCATGGATGCAGTTGGTTGTCCAACGAAGAGGGCTGCATTCCATGGCTGATATGATCCTTGGGACGCTAGGATCACGTACCTGCAATTTTAATCCTAATTTTGATTTTCAATTGCTGAGATTTCTAAGTCAGTGCAACGCCGTCTCATACGTTGTTTCCTGCAGTATCTAGATTTAAAGGGCTAATGCACACCGCGAAGCTACCTGAAATCACGCTCCACGGAGCAACCTTCTCAAGTGTGTGACAGTGTGTGCAATCAATTGCATAAATAGTACTGTAACAACATTGGACTGGACATGTTTGATTTGGTGGCTTGGAAAGCATAGCGTTTTTGGGGTCACATTCAATCAATGCCAGTGCAAGTTGGAGCCCTTCATGTTGTAAAAACAAGACTCTAAAGAGATCTAACAATTCAGTTTGAGTTTCGGAATCCAACAGCAAAGACCTGTGGCAAGAGGGTAAGAAGAAAATTTGCCAGACTGGCGAACAGGGTAGGCAGGTTCAACTGCCGGGGTGGCTGAATGTTGGCGCCAGGATCGTGTCAACGAGAATCAACTGATGCGGAGGCGTTTGGAGAGCGATGCTTGTCTCAGTTGGTCAGGCAGATTGGACCCCAATATAGGTGTGAACATGCGACCAATACTTTATTGGGTTTGGAGGCAACGGGCCATAGTTGAAGACATTTCAAAGCGACCAGCGAAGTTGCGTGGAAAGGAATCACCACAAGGCCAAGTCCATTTGACCAAGATGTGTGTATTTGAGCTGCTTGCTATGCTTAGGAGCTGCGAGAAACTTGTAACCAGATCAGCTTGACGAAAAACACAATCCAGGAGACTTGGCTCGTTCTTGCTCGCGGAGGTTGGCTTCGTGGGCTCGAGTAGAGGGATTCTAAAGACATTGAGTTAAAAGTTATGTGGATGTAATGGAGATCTCTACTGTTCAGACCTGTGAACATCTTGGAATCCAGAATGTATTCCAGTTGATCGGGTCCTTGAAGTGCCCACGTAGTAGGAAACCTGGGCGTGTCACTCAACTGTAAGTTTTTTTGATGGGTATGGACATCCTAAAGCAGTTGTCCTGATGCCAGTGTCCAATTCTCTAACTTTACGACTTTACGATGCTTCAGCATTGTTTCCACAAACATGCGAGAAATAAAGGAAACACCATACCGACTTATATATAGATGTCCTTTGTACTTACCGTACATACCTACCAACTTGGTCAACAACATCTCTCGGAATCGGACTTCTACACCTGCTTGCTCCAGCTCAGGACACAAAGACTCAGATTCGCTCCCTGGACGAGCCAATGGAGCCTGAGCTGAAAACATGTTCTCCTCAGTGGGTAGTATAGGGTGTACCAGTGGGTGTACCTTGAGCCCCGCCTGGGGCAATGTGCGTTTTAGTCATATGTTGATTCTTCATGATTCTTGGCGGTTTGAGAGGAAGCTCTTCTTGTGGGGACGGGATTGAGCTCAAACCGAGATCCAAAGACTATTCGACCAGGTCCTGGATGTTCATCACGTGGTTGTTGGAGTCTTGAGGGTCGACTTTTTCTTGAACAAACATATCTCCCAGAAAACGCATATAGATTGAACATCTCCTCATATCAGATGCGAATTCCCCTGCCAAAAATCGTAATTGTATACTTCAGTCTTCAGTTTTGGCCTCAACTTGAGCCAGGACTTGACATCCACTTGCGCCTCCTGGCGTCAACAACGTTCATCGAAAGAGCATGCGATGGACCCAGTGTCCACTGCTTTGCCACTTGGATCTCATCCGAAACGCGTGGAATGTGTGCAGTGCTGGAAGTTCTCTAGACGTCATTCAAAACTCAAAACGGGTTTTCAGATCAAGACCGTTTTTGTGGAATGGGGTGGAGGGTTTATGTGCTTTCACTCCCCACAAGGCTCGAACGGTTCGATTCCCAGTCGTGGCGGGGTCTCGAACGGTATGATCCAATGTATCATGCTTGCTGATGTGAGAAGTCATGTTCAAAACCAATGTTTAGTTTAAGAGTGTGTTTCTTCCTTTTCAGAAAATTTGTGTGCAACAGAGTTGAACTACCAAGAACCAACGATCCAGTCCTCATGAATTAAAACCAACAGTCTTCTCCTTACAAGGTGGAAAAGAACACCTAGCGACCCTGAACGACTCCTTCCTAACTTCCTGGGGGTTCAAGAAGTGGTTTGAACCCAGTGAGCGATGTGAGTCAAGTTGAAGGTACCCGGGTACCTGTGGATTCTCATGCGGAATCATGTGGAATCCACAGTTTCCAGCCTTGGAGGGACGACGTTGTTGGGTTGCCGCTGCTAATCACAGAGAATGGAACTCAAGCACCTTTGATAAGCCATGGCACGACCTTTGCAAAGATAAACCTCATATTTCGGATATACAGATCTGGGGGTTCCATGACAGTGCTTGGTAGTTGGGGAACTGCCAAGTATTTTGTGTTTGCTTGAAGACTGTCAGGGTTTGCGCCACGAGGTTCAATGGGTATTGATCAATGACCCAAAAAGACTCAAAAAAAAAGACGCCATGCTCCCCAAAAATCGCCCTGCTCCGAGGCAAGAGCACCAGATGACCTTGCTGAAGTGTCACGAGGAATTACGCCAACACCATCAGAATGAGAAGAACATCTTGCAAGACCTTCAGGATGATCCGATCGCTCAGTTCCCTTGGGTTCGGGTCATGTTGTTTCTTCTTCTTCTTCTTCTTTCCGTGGAATTCCGTGGATGGTTCGGGTCATGGCTGTGGATCCCCACGTGGTTTGCTTCTTGGCAGTTCTGTGCGAAAGCAAAAAGCGAATGGCAGGTTGTTTCTGTCCTACGTATCCGACGTATCCCCAAGGAAAAATGTGTCATGTTTTTCCTGAAAAATGCCGATGTTTGTTCTCAATCAAAACCTGTTCTCAATGAAGGTTTGAGCAATTTGTCACTTGTAAGATGAGTGCTTGCTTCTTGGCCGCTGGCCTCGTGGACTCCGTGTTATGTCAAAGCACTCACCTAAATGAAGCTCATGCCACTAGTAGGCGACCATTAACAATCACTCACCCAATTGAGCGAGGCTGTGACTGCTATGTCTGATCACTCACCTCTAAGTCAAAGATCCTTGGCTGTCGGTCAAAACTTGCTCTTTTCCAACGTCGGCATAAGACTAGAGGATCCTCAAAGCATCTCAAGGCAATTTGAGCTACTGCAGTGGTTTTAGAGTGGCATCTCACAGAACCCAAGTGCTAAAACAAATCCCCATCCAACTCTGGCTTGGCCTGAGGAGCACCATGCACTCTGAAAGTAGAGGGTACAGCTTTGGGTGTGAAAAACTGGTTTTGGGGTTGATGGTAAGTTTTTTGGTTTTGAAGATAAGTCAGGTTTGATGGTTAGCTTCGTTTGTGTGGCGGCCAGGAGAAGAAGGAGCAGTTGAAGGAGGACCTCCGCGCCTTGATTGAAGATTTCTCGACTGAACCGATATCGACATGTGCGTCCCCTCATGTATAATTCATTGCGAGGCGTTCGTGTGATTGACCAATTATAGAAACGGACATCTGTTTTTTTTTGGGGGGGGACCTTGACACTTTTGGCATTGGCATCAATGATCACCAGAAGGATGTTTGATGAACTGGCTTGTGACGCGGTTTTCGGACTTGACTTGTACGAATGTCCGTAGGAACCAGGTGACATTCCACACAGACAGTCTTTTCAAGCAGGTCTGTTGTGGGTGTAGGACTTGCAGCAAGACCCCCGTGATGTTTTGAGATGATGTTGCTGGCTGCTGGTACACAACTAGGACAAAGGCACAAGGATTCACACCTAGAATACTGAGACCCACAACAAATGGTAGAGATGCTTTCTTACACTACAATGCAATGTGTCCTTTTGATAAGAAGTAAGTACTCCCAGCAGTGAACAAAGCATCAGAACACTACTACCCCGGAACTTGCAGAAATCAGAATCAGAAGTCTTCAATCGCTTAAATCAGGTGCAGCGCCCCGGAACGTTGACTCTCCGACTTTGAAACCAGCGGCCAGATGTTAAAAACATTTAAAAACAGAACATCATGAGAACACCTAGCCTAGGTTTATACTTCACTTCGGTACCCACGACTCGACCTGATGGGTTGGTTGGATGCATGTGAAGTCATGTCCTCTTTTCTAGTTTGATCTGACACCATAAACGAAATCACCAAACGTCTTCGTGGTTTGGGATCAGCACTCCACTCGGCGTTCGAACTCGGCCAAGGTGACAAGACCTCAGCACTCCACATCGACCTCAACTGTCTCACCCACGAAGCCCAGCCATCCCGGCATGGCCAAGCACCACGTCCCGCGATCAGCCGCCAACGGCTGCCCAAAGCGATGAAGGCCGGGGACAACGAATGTGGTGCCAAGGTCCCAAAAGCACCACTGGTGAGTCATTAGCGTTGACATTGACCATTCTGAACTGTTCATGAACACACTCGATTGTAGAACATCAATGAACATCCAGATAGGACACATGTTTTGAGTTTATGTCAACGATCAGCAATTAGCATAGATAGGCAAAGGATGGTGGATTGGTGTTTGAGCCAACCTAATTGGTTTGGTTCATAGTCGCTGGGGACTGTCAGCAGAAGGTGGGTGACCGCTGACCGATTGTATCATTGTCGGACTGGTGCAACGCTGTTCAAGTCCAAAGAAGCACGGACCAGTAGAGATGATGAAACGATTGGTGGCACGGGCGGGAGTGCAAACCTCTCTGTTGGGATTCAATGGAGCTGTTGAGTCAGGACGCCATAAGCTGTTGTGTTTTGGGACGTGACGATGGGTCGTCGATGGTCCATATCAAACGATACGGTCCATATAATGCAGAGTGTTGATGCTTTTTTTCCGGCCATTGAAGCAACGTGAGGGCAGGAAAGATGGTCAACAGTTCACAGGTTCTGTTCATTGCAAACCATTAGCAGACACCCAAGCGGCAAAGCGACAGCTGCAGGAATGAGTTCGACAAGTTTTTGCTAAATGACTTGATCCAAAGAAGCCAGAGACGCCAAACGTTTGACCATTTCCCCATCCCAGTTGTGCAGCAGTCTCAGTCTTCAGAGCCACTGGTCACTGGTTGCCTACAATGCTGGTTTTATTTTGACACATACTTTGTCAATTGCAGCAGAATCACAATATATAGCGCCAACAATGTTGGAGGGCTTCACAAGGAAGCAGTGGTCAGTATGAACGAATGACACTATGTCAACGTCATAGAAATACAATGATAGAACGAACACCAGGATGGGCAACAGCCTAATTATATCATATGTATGTCATAGTGTATTTCATCTATCCACTGTGGGAACTTGCCGTAGATGTCATTTCCAGGATATGTTTTCAACTGATATATATAATATATATATATAAAGTCACACATGTTTTAATGTTTTTGTTGATCGTCCCTCCTTTGGATTGAGGAGACGCAGCAAAGGAACACATGACAGTCATGATACATGTTTTTTTTTTCACATTTTCACGCCTGCATGTCGCAATGTTCGAAGTCATACTTTTCGATAGCTGGACGCCCGGCTTTGTGCCCAGGTGGATCCTAGTTTTGTCCCAAATCCTGGGCATGCGATGATCTTGCAGCTGCCTCTTACGGCCAGATGAGGCCCGGGCTCAGTTGCATCTCCATCTGGGCCCAGTTGCATAACGAAAGGGCATGACGGTTTAAGGGCAACAGGTTCCACTTGAGTGGTAGCTGCACCATGTTCAGGGTTCAGATGGTGGCTGCATGTTGGTGCTCTTTCTTCACTAGTCACTTGCCGGATGGTTTGGCAAGGCACCTGCGAGTTGGGGAATGATGAGAATCCTGTCAACTAACTCGGGTTTGGTCTCAGTAACTTCCAGGGATCAGCACCAGCCCGGATCCGTTGGATGCCGATCATGGGCTGAGCCGGAGCGCCGAAGCGGCAGGTGTGCTGTCGTGGCCAGGCTGGCAGTGAGCTCCTCAGTTCATTCTTGGAGAAGACATTTGGAAAGCCACCTGGTGTAACAACGGAATCAAAACGATGGCTTGGATTGGTTATTTGCCGGCATATTTACATTTATATACATGGAGTCTGGTGTTCTTTCGGCGGAAGACGAAACCCCGGAAGACTCTTGCACAGAACTGGTTCAGTAACAGAGTGTCGTCGTCGGTATCGTCGTTTTATCACGTCACTTGCTGGGAGTGACTCACTGCCTCCGTTGTTTTTGGCCTGCTCAGGCCTGGCCTGAGCCATTTGCGGCGCATTTGTGTCCTGTTTCTCGCGCACTTGTTTGAGGGCGCCCACGTGGTTTCACGGCAACCGATGTCCAGAAGAGGGAACCTCTTATTGCTGGCAAAGTGCATCGGGCCGCGTTTAGCTTCCGAATTTGAACTAGGTTTGCACCTTCATTCCCAGTGAGTGGCCCTTCTTTGGTGGAACATGCGAGGCGACGTCCTGCATTTTCGGGGGACCCCGATGGACCCAGAAGGAAATCCACGGACTATGTAAACAATGTAGCCATCCGTCAAAAGCGTCCGTGTAATGGGCTGGTTGGGGGGTACCAGTGTTTGTGGCCCCTATGCCTCCATGCGATATTCCGGCAGCTCGCCAGGATGAAGGTGCCATGAATTTTGAAGTATATAGGGCCGCTGAGTCGAGCCGCGAGAGGCAGCACGGATGCGATGCGCGGGTTAGACGGACAGACGGACATATAGGCCCTCGAGGCCTAGAGGACCTGAGCCTCCCCGAGTATCGTTTCAGATCGAGGGAGGCCGGCATCGACCATAGAGAAACTGAACTCATTGGCAACTTGACTGGGGATTCATATCCACTTCATGGGGGCTACAGCTGCAGTCATAGCCATAGCCTGTGTCAGTGCAATCTCCCATCCTGTTTTGGAGGGAGATTGTGGAAGCGTGACAAGTGCTGCCAAGAATCTCGTCGCTGATCGCCACAAGAGCAACAACTGGATTGGGGGTTGCACCAGGGACGGCTGTGGTGTTGATTGGTGTTGTTTAGCTAATGGGGAGATTTGCATGCACCTTACAGACCTCACAGGCTTCCTTGTTTGATGAGTTAGGGTGATTGTTCTTTCAGGCGGTTACACTTCCCGAAATCATCGTGGAAACTGGATGAAAATGGTCCCCCGGCTGGTCAACCTGGGCTCACCCTACGTGGCTTTCCACGTCCACCTGGCCCGTGACTCATCGTTGTGCAGCGACCGGGAACTCCAAATGAACGGGAACAGTTGGAACTCATGTCCTTGTTGGCTTGGGGCAGCCATGATACTCCAAGCTACGTTGCACCCCCAACTCTCCGGACAGCGTCTGAAGTTGCTGCCAGTGGCCTGCCCAGTCAGTACCGGCTGTGAAGATTTGCAACTGGCTGAAAGAACATGAGACAAGCATTGCCAGCCTTGCGATTCAAGATAGTTCTGAGAGAAGTGGAACTTTTAATGCACAAAAGATTCGTATAGAACTATTTTCTTAGACTTGCCACCACACGCCTACAGAGAACACCCTGATGCTTGGAACTTGTGACTATGGCCACGGCAGCTTTGAGCGCGGAGTCCATTGGCGACACCGTTTCCAGGTCAAAGGCCTTCGGCCGACTTCGGCCGCCGCAAAGCGAAATGGAAAAAGCAGTCTGAGGTTCAACATTGTTGTGGAGCCCTTCGTTTGCAATCTGATACCAACAACTAGTAATTACAGTAACGTCGTAACACCAGTCTAGACGACTCGGAAGTCCTTCCTGGAGGCGACTTGGCGAGGCAACCCCAAGGGGCAACCCCGAGCAAGATGCACTTGCCAAAAAAAAGCAGCGACTCTGGCGACTGCGTGCTTGCTAGAACAAATGAGACGCAAGTGAACCTACAGGGTTCAGACCAGAACTACCATGTCATGTTCAAATTTGGACTACCGGGCATCTATCTATCAAAAGCTGCCTTCTTGGCTTAAAATTGTTTCCATTTGGTTTTGCCAACCACCCCTCTCTCAGGTCCGGCAACTGGAACTTTCGCCCGGTGAGCGCGGATGCGCTCTGGACTGATTCGACCGTCTCGGGACGGATTCGGCGCGGTACGGAGGACTGTGGGGTGAACGGAGTGCAAAGGGCTTTGGTCGGCGTTTTAGTCCTCTCCATTTTGCACACTTCGGACAACATGTCCGAAGGTTTCACGTTTAAAGGTCCAGATTAAAGTGGAATAATTCTTCACTAATAGTCACTCTATATATATATATATTCAATTGTCATAAGCGAATTTTGCATCCAATTGACTTGTAGCTGCACCCTTTTGGTGCGTTTGGCAAATTTGGGTCAGATGATGAGGTGGGTTGGACAGAATGGTCGGTTTCATTGAGCTGTGCGGATGGTAGGGCAGTAGGGCCTGCAGGGGATGCCCCCGGTCTTGAGAGACACTACTAGCCTGATCGTGCCAGAGATCGCCAGCTGAATGCTAGACACAAGTGAGTGGAGGATGAATAGACTGGGCGACCTTTTTAAACAACGAAAGTTGAAGCCCCAAGTAGTTTGTGCGACTTGATTGATTCAGTAGTGAGGGATAGCTAGATAAAAGCATATGGTGAAACCATGGCAATGTAGGATACACAAATACACACAATATGATACAATAAACCTTGTCAATGAATGAGTCAACATTGTTCAACTGAATTTGTTCTCGTTTGGTTCTCGCTGAAGTGGTCATGTTCCATTGCGGATGTGCAGATTGGTTTGAATCCGGAAAGCCGATCCGATCGACTCATTTTTGCGGGTCAAAAACCTCGAGGCAGCCAAGGGAGGCAGATCGGTACTTGTAACCACCCAAGATCACCGTTTTCTAGCAGATATATTGAATCCAAACCCTTTGAATGCCTCAGAAGTGGTCAATCTACACACGAAGGTCAGTTGCTCCGAGCACCGAGGTTCATCCTCGCACATCCGTGCTTGGCGCTATTGTTTGGAGCACCTCGGGCTGCATGCGATGGAGACATGTTTGGAGCATTGTGATTTTGGGGCAGCACTGCCTATGTGTATGAACTGCAGACCCGACTCCCCCAAAATCCAGTTCAAACCTTTTGTGGCCAATCAGACTTAATTTGTGTGGGCACCACGGGACCACTGGATTTGTTTTGTTTTTTTTGTTTTTTTCATTGTTTTGTCCATCCACAGTCCTGCAGTTGTTCACATGATGAGAGTGGGAGGTGGTGTTGCAGAAGAGGTGGTAGTATACAGTAATTCCTAAGAAGCTACAGGTTTTGGAGAAGATCCATGGGGACACCGTGGGGAACCCCGGCCAGGCATGCAGATGGCACCGATCGACCCTTACTGGTCCTTGAGGATGATGCCGCCCCAACGGCCGAGTAAGCTGGTCAGCAGAGCAGAGGACCTGGGGTTCAGGGATGAGCATATGACAGCATAGGATGGCCATATGCTATACTATACTATATACGGTGTTTTGGGGATGACCTTTTCTAATCCACCAACTTGTCAGAAAGGCATGTGGACCCCTAGCTGGCTGATACTCAAACAGCATCAATCAGCTTACTTGGGATTTACCCATTTGCTCAGTCCTCGCTTTCTCACGTAGTTGCATCAGGTGTGTAAGTGCTCCATTCATTACCGGTGTCGTCAGGTACGGGGTCAGAAGAACCACCATGGCACCGCAGTTTTGTTTTCGATGTTTTCGTCAAGTGCTGAGAAGGGTGTCGGGTGTCATTGCAAGTGGTTAATCCAGTGCAAAGATGTATGGTTGCAGTATGTTTTAGGTCGTTCTCCTGATCCCCTTTCATTTGTGAAGAATGCGTGCATCTTCGGAATCACAGACCTCAGGTCATTGCCAGAGTCCCATTTTTGCAATGCACCATGTTGTGACTATGAACATGTATTATCATGTATTTACCAAACAAAATGTCAAGTGGCGAGGCGAGCGCTCATTGTTGAAATTGACACCCTATAAAAGCCTAAAATATTCTTAAAGTATCTTAAAGTGTTTGTGTGTGTTGGGGAAAAAGCCAAAACAACCAAACTCTGAAAAACATAATAAGTGATTAGAACATCTTGGAACGGCTATTGGGAACAAAGAACGCCCTATGGCCTATGTGTCCTTCTTTGGGCCCACTAGTCTCCACACACCCAAAATGCATTTCCGAACGCCGAGGTTTTGTGAAGTCCTGGACCAAGCCCTTGCGACTCTACCGGTGTGGACGCCCTACCGGTGACGAGCAGTGTTTCGCCGTGTTTACCGTACACCTTCACATGGAAATCGTGGAGAAAGCGTAGGCAGCTGTGAAGTGGATTGATTTTTATGGTGTGAACACTTCAGATCATGTTGCAGCTGATCCTGTTGTTTGGATGGGTTTGTGTGCTGTAATTATATGTATTTAATTTTGGATTGTTCAGATTTTAGCGGTAGGAAGTTGAAAAGGAAGCTGTTTCTAGCCAGACCTTGCAAGTTGATGTTCTAGTCATTGTCTCACGGTTTGTCGCCACATTATTAAGCATTGGTGACGATTAAAAGGTGCCGCGTACAACTTGATTCATTGAAAGTGGTATGTATTTTCCTTCAGATTGGGTGGCGAGTACGATGAGGAAGCCTTTTTTTGCCTATGAACTATAGTCCAAAACTATTGGACCGCAGCTGCCATTCCCCAACAGACTATATGACTATGGGGAGCCCATTTGTGGTTGCGCAGAATGAACACAATCAATCACCAACGGGATTGTCACATAGTCATTGACAGCCAGATCTCCAAAATTGTCCATTTGATAACTTGAGGATGGCAAGATTATATTTAGCTTTGGACATCTGGGTCCGATGGTAGACGAGAGGTGGAGATGTTACAACGCACGACCAGGCGGATGCCGACCTGCTCTATTTGGGCTACTCTCAGGCACGGCGGGTCCATGCCGATCGGTCACGCATCGGTCACAACCGGGGTTGGAGATCCTCAAAAAACTCCAGCTGCGTACTGTTCGGGCCAAGGGCCTGTTCAACGGATGCAGAAGTGCAAGAGAGGTCAACGAGGGCCAAGGGTACCAGGTGGTGCCATGTTGCGGTGCCGTCAGATTTGTCCATCACTAATTACATTGTCCACCCATAGAGCAAGCATGATGCCTACTCTATTTTTCTCAGGCACAAGGGTAGCAGGTGGTGAAAGATTAATCCCTTGAGCGATTGCAAAAAACACTAATCATGTATTGATTCTTACAGGACGGCATGGCTGTGGATTTCGTGAACTTACATGTTTGACCCGTTTTTACCTACAGTTATATAAGTAAATGCATTTTGGACACACCGATCTCACCCAAACAATCCACTATATGTGACCATGATGCATTTTTGTCCACATCGAACACCTCACCGAAGCTCACCTCGCCGCTCGCTCGCTTCCTTTTTTCTCTGAGGCCGCGGACTGGCGTCGGGAAGTGAGTCGCCATGTGGTGGAGTCCCACTACGTTTGGACGCGTCTCGGTGGAGGTCGAGCGGAGCTCCGTCTCAGCGGTTTCGAGCGGAGCTGATGTGGTTCGGGGAGGAGGTGATGGGTTGGGGGTTGAACCTCAAGGTGTCAGGCCCCATCGATGCAACCAGAAGGTGAGGCACCCAGCCTACGTAAGAAGTTGCAGTTGACAAGTCAGTAGCTTAACTGCACATGCCCGGCACCTATCATCTATCCTGGCTACATGCACTACTGAAACCACCCTGGCCCTAAAACGACTTCAAGCACCATATTAGCGGGAAAATTGCAAGCTGAGTGCGAGTGCTTAGTGTGATCTTGTTTGGAACATCAACCACTCTGTTTCGAACCCTGCATTGGTGGTCCCTTATAAATGCGACGAACCGAAGAAACAGTCAGGGCAGGGGGCCAGCCACATTTCCTCACATATCGTTCTCATCTGTAGTATCCGTAGGGCATGTCCAAGGAAGATCCAGTTCAGCAGTTTTGCGCAGTCATGGCTATGCTTTGAGAGACCCTTAGACATGAACTTGAAACTACACGTCCGACAACTCGTTTGCCTTTTAGTTGAATGTGTGCGTCCAATGTGCCAAGTCCGAGGACCGTGGCCTATATCGTGTGAGTCTCAGTGAAGCTTCCAGGAGCAGATGGGACTCTGGTGGAACAGTTCTGTTGGGTCACCACTCCCGCCTCCTTTGTGAGCGGGCATTCATGGAGGTGAGACACACTAGATCGACTGGCCATGACCGGCCACTTCTCATGAAAGAATGAAAGGGGTTGGTGAAGACATCCCAAGTCACCCAGGTGTCGGGTTTCGGTGGGGTAGTTTTTGTTTTTCTATTTTTATGTTTCTGTTCACTGATAGGATCTGGAATCATTGGAAAACACGTTTGATCAACTTCAATGCATTGGTGACATGGCCCATCATGCGCCTAAACATTATATGTGTACTTTACTTCAAGAAAGGTCCTCATGAATGTCCATGATTTGCAGCTTTACATGAGAGCCGTCGTGTTAGTGAACATACTTGTAGATATTTGTAGAAGCATGCAGTAATATAGAAGTGGATTTGGTCGCTCACTTCGTTGTCCTTCCTTTCTACACACGGTCCCAGGTGTGGCCCCAGGGGGCTCGGAAGATGTTGTCCCACTTGCCGGTGAACGAGCCCGTCGACAACTGGATGGCAGCCCTTTGGACAGAATCCCGAAGTGGGGTAGAAGTGTTGCAGTGCGTTTGGAGGGGATCTTGAGGCATCCCGAAATGGGCAACTTGGTGTGTTTCTTCGAGCTCAATTGTCAGTATATATCTTTTGGACGCCTCTTTTGCTCAACTTCGAACCTGTCTTTGTTTGACTTTCAAGCTTGAGGGCTGTCCGGCTATCCCTCGTGACTCGAAGAATCTGCTTCCTTGTAACAGAAAATTGTTTAGTACAATTTTGCTGTCCTTCCGCGAGAACCTGGCTTTGCATCAAAACCTCACCTCAAACATAGGTCTGCACAAAAAAGCGGTGGACTCCAGCTGTTTCAGGATCCAACCCTCTCCCCTTCCAACCATGTGCCTACCTTTAATCCCCCATTGAACTGGTTAAGCAGGTGACCTAAAGATCTCTTAGATACCTAGAGGCTCTGGGGAAGTTGCTTTGGTCCAGCCCAATCAAGTCACCAGGAGCCTGTTAGAGCTGAAGCCGAGCGGAATCAAGATAAATGATGTCATTTAGCAAAAGGGGTCCATTGAGAATCCTAAGAGAAAGGCCTCTTTGACCCGCAGATGCGCTCATGTCATGCACTCCAGGGGTCACACCTGACACCACCCTCAGCCGACTGCACGGCACACAGGGCCTGTGTGCAGCCAATGACATCAAGGCGGGCACCTTGCGCTCTGGTGGGTTGAAATTCCACCGTAACTTCTCCAAAGTGTACATTGACAGGTATCGACATGCGGCCCAACAAAGCGATTGTCTCTTAGATTGTCCACAGATCTTATGACTAAACAAAGCAATTGTGTCCTTTCGTATGGCTTATTTATTAAGACAATACAAGATGACTTGTTTAAGATTGTTTAAGCATTTTGAGTCATATGTAAACGGTATCCAGACTCAAACTATATGCTTGGCCGTGTGTGTGTGCTAACCTGCCTTCGGAGACCTAAACCCATTTTACATTGACCATGTTTGACTAAACTGCGTGTTTTTTTTTCCCTCTCTTCTCCGTAGCAACGGGGATTACTATAAATTAAAACAAATCATAATGACATATCTCAAACTGATGTGTCAACATAGAAATTGGATTTTCTCTTAGATGCGCTTCACAGCCATGCAGTTGTTTCCCGCTGGGTCTCATTGCGTGGTCGGTGGCTGTTCTTCCGCCCTTGAGTGGAGTTTCTAATGGTCATCTTGGCCAGCGAGATGATATTCCTACTACTTCAAGATGTAGATATGGAAAATTTTCTCTCCCCCCCTCTCTCTCTTTGCCTCTGTTGTTAGCAAAAGGTATCAGCCCAGCCTTCGAATCTGATCGTCCCAGGCCTACTGCGTGAGACCGAAGGTGGTGCTCCAAGCAGAAGCTCGGACGGAGGGACGGGTCTGTCAGCTGGAGCTGACGCGGAGCCACATCTCGAACGCCGGGAATGAAGGGCATAGAAGCATGCCCTTTGTTACTAGTAGCTTCTTGTTCCTAGTAGTAAGGCACTTTTTACTAGTAGCGATGCACTTGTTACTAATAGCTTCTTGTTCCTAGTAGTAGTAGCGATGCACTTGTTACTAATAGCTTCTTGTTCCTAGTAGTAA